TCTTCTCTCTCGGCACAAGCAACAGATATCTTCTCCTTGAACCCCTGTAGACCCTCCGTTTCCAGCGTTTCATCTTCGTCGATGTCGAGCCCCTTCCATACGTCCTCTACAACCTTGACCCATTCCGTGGGTTGTCTACCCTTCTTTTTGTTTGTCCATTTCGCGTCGCATACATTTCTCGGCATCCTATCCTCTCCCATCCCGCACATGCGATACTGCCATGCAGTGTCAGCTTCCTCGCGTCTCTTCCCGACCGTTGGGATTGGATCCCCAGTTCTGCCCTGACGGCTGCATTACCTGCGCGCTTGGAGCATCCTAGGATGATTTTCGCTGCTTTCATCTGCGCCTCCTCGAGTTCGTTCACTACCTTCTTATTTATATATTCCTTCCCATACTTCTCCGGCGTACTCTAGCGGCGGTACGATTACGCTCTTCAAAACCGTCAATTTGATGCGTGTATCGAGGTGCCGGTTTGCGATTAATGGGTACAGCTTCCCTGCTCGTGCTTTGCCCCATTCCGCTACATTGGACATGTGTGCATTCCACGAGCAGTCTTTTGCGATCTCTACTCCGAGGTATGTGTACTGGTCCACCACTGCAAGCTCCTCGACCCCCCCACTCCCATCTATGTTCTACTGTTTCCTCCTTGTTCTCGTTGCATACCATGACGGCACTCTTCTTAACGTTGGCAGACAATCCCCACTTATCAGCAAACGCCTTGCAGTCCCTCAGGGGTGTCCGACATACCGACAAAATCATCCGCAGACAGCATTCCTGACACCGACGTTTCCGTGTCCCCTACGTTTACTCCCTTCTTCACTGCTTCTACGATTTCCAACAGATCCTTGATAAACACCTGGAACATTGTTGGGGACAGCGTGCTGTAGGACCCCCTGCTCAATGTCGAAGAATGTAGGCAGTTCTCCGTCTAGCATGACCGCGCTTTTCGTACACGTTGTCATCTTCTTCAGCACTCTCCACATTTTCCCCTTGATTCCGTATTTAGACAGTTGTTTCCATAGCCCATTTTTCCATACGGTATCGTATGCCTTTTTCACGTCCAGAACGAAGCTGCACGTTGGCTTTCCCGCCCTCTTTCTACCTTGGATGATTCTCCCTACCGTGAATGCGTGGTCTACGCACCCCCACTTCGTTCGGAACCTGCCTGGCCCTCACTAATGTTATGTTCCTTCTCCAATTTTCCCACTATCGTATCGTCCAGCAGCTCAGAATACTTGTCCTACTGTTTTCAAGAGTGTGATTCCCCTGTAGTTTCCTGGGTCAGTCTTGTCTCCTTTCTTAAACAAGTTCACAACCACTCCTTCCCTCCATCTACTTGGCGTATACTCGTTTTCCACACCCATTTGTACAGCAGTACCATCAGCTGGATCATCCCCTTCCCCCCAAACTTCATGAACTCGTTGACTATCCCATCCGCTCCTGCTGCTTTGTGGCACTTCAGCTTGTTCACACACGCCTCAACCTCGTCCTCAGTGAACTCCTTTTCTAGTTCTACGTTCCCAACGTCTGCCTTCGATGTCTCTTCTTCCTTTTTCTGGCCCCATGCGTCCACCTTCTTAAACACTCGGTCAAAAGCTTCATTCTCCGAGGGCACTCCAAGTCTCTTGTAGTGTCCTGCTAGAACTTCCCTTTTTCCCTTCCCACTGCTGACTAATCCACCGTTCACACCTCGCAAAGTTGCTACCCCTGTATCCCCCCCTTGCGCGGTCTTTTTTACCAAGCCACTAATCCCTTCCCACATCTGCTTGACGTTTCCCTCCAGGGTTCCGTTGGCCTTCTGCACTACTTCGTCCCAAATGCACTTGCTCTTCTTTTTCACTAGTCCCTTCACCTGTTTTCTCTTGGCCCTGTACTTTTCCAACTCTCCTCAGACTCCTCACTCAGGTACTGCTTGAAAGCTTCTCTACCTTCCCCTTTTCTTCTTTCAGCTCGTCATCCCACCACTCAACCGATACCCCACATCGTACCTCCTCCTTTCCCACTACTCTCTCTGCCGTTGTGTTCACTGTGGACTCCCACCCTTCAATCACCCTGTCCCCCGCTGCTTGTACGTCTACCTGTCCGTCTTCGACGCTTCTCAGCAGTTTCCTGAAGACCAGCCCGTCTCTTCTTGAATTCATCCCATGTCCCCTCGTCTCCTAAACGCTCTACTTTCCACCGGAACACTTTCCTCTGTTTCTTACTCTCCATCTTTCTAGATCGATCGATGTTTGCCGATATGAGGAAGTGATCGGTCGAACCTATCTCCCGCACTTACGTGCAGCTCTGGGATCTGTGTGCTCCCCCTATCTACCAGGATGTAGTCGAGGATCGAGTGTTCATTGCAAACTACCCGTTGCCTGATAAACTCCGGCTTATCGCATGCCCTCCTACCGTTCAACACCATCAGCTCGTTGCTTCCCAAGAATTCGAGCATCCTCACTCCATTGTCATTCACTTTGTCTTCTCCGTGCTGCCCGATCGCCTGTCCTCTACTGGAAGCTTTCCCTACTCTGGAGTTGAAATCGCCCACCATGACAACTTCTCCCTTCCTACTGAACCTCTGGACATCTTCCCCAATTTGTCCAAAGTTCTCCTGCGCCTTGCTTGCGACTTTCTTCGACGACGGTGGGACGTATACGTTCCCTAGAAACAAGTCTTTCTCACCCCGCTCCCCAGGTATCTTAAGCCATAGGCCTGTCTCTTATACACATCTAGATGTGTATAAGAGACAGCTTATGTGCAGCTCTGGGATCTGTGTGCTCCCCCTATCTACCAGGATGTAGTCGAGGATCGAGTATTCATTGCAAACTGCCCGTTGCCTGGTGAACTCCGGCTTATCGCATTCCCTCCTACCGTTCAACACCATCAGTTCGTTGCTTCCCAAGAATTCAAGCATCCTCACTCCGTTGTCATTCACTTTGTCTTCTCCGTGCTGCCCGATCGCCTGTCCTCTACTGGAAGCTTTCCCTACTCTGGAGTTGAAATCGCCCACCATGACAACTTCTCCCTTCCTACTGAACCTCTGGACATCTTCCCCAATTTGTCCAAAGTTCTCCTGCGCCTTGCTTGCGACTTTCTTCGACGACGGTGGGACGTATACGTTCCCTAGAAACAAGTCTTTCTCACCCCGCTCCCCAGGTATCTTAAGCCATAGGCTTTCCTCGAATTCCGTTTTCACCACTACTTCCACCACGTCAAACAAGTGTTCCTTGACCAGGAATCCGACTCCCCCCTCCCCCCTTTTCTTCGGGTCTAAGCCCTTTCTTTCCTTCCCTACCCACCGGTATTTCCCTAGTTTGCTTACCATGCCCCCATCCTTCCATTCCCACGTCTCTTGGATCCCCACTACATCTAGATC